TGTAAAGGTTCTCATTGAAATGAATGTCATACAGATTACCAACTGTCCTCATCATTTGATAACTAAGATACATTATTGAAATAGATACACAATGGCTGAGCCGAAATGCAAAGTTAGAGAACGATTTTACTACACAAACTAACAAGGATTAAATAAAGTCCACTTTCTGACCTCAATCGACCAACCTCTTCTTCATGAGATGAAGCAGCTGCTAAAGCAAACCGTCGCTTCCCATCCAGTGCAGTTAATCTCTAGAGTTGATTAAAAATACAAGTTCAGTAGCACAGCGTTTGGCGTTAGACTAAATCGGATAATACGATAAAAGATCCCAACCTCATAGGTGTTTATAAGTTCCTTGTCATCACTCAAGGAATCACGTGCCTCCGCAGCCTCAACAGAAATTGACATCATACCCTCTACATCCTGACCAGTGAGAAAAATTAAAAGCAACCAATGAAGTTACAGGCATAGCAGTAAGAACTAAGAAGGTCTAGCAACTATATATGGAGCACGCAAGTTCAAAGCCTCCTTGGGGCAGCTTGCTACAGTGCAATGGCATGAATGCAAAGACTTAGACTAATATCTATATTTACGATGATTAGGTGATGTGTAAACAAAAACATTCACCTTCAGAGTTGTGTTCAGGTTATTCCTAGCATTACTGAGGAGTTTGATTTTATCATGATTCTCAATCAATGTTTGGCATTCTTGGCATAACCTGCCAGGAAGAAAATATTATAGGTCAACCTAAAACATCAATAGGTGAACACATGAGATGCATTCTTTTACTGATTACTATAGATTTTTCTGTCTCATTGGCATACTTTTCAATCTCCACAAAATTCTCTCTCAATTCACTTATTGTCTTCTGGGACAAGGAAAGTGAGTCAAGGCCCGCTTGTGCCTGTTCAACCTGCACCAGAAATACAAAGTAAATTAGAAAATTGGTCAGACTTTAAAGCGGAAAGAAGTATAAAGCCTCTAGAACCACACCTTTTAAGAAAACTGAAAGATTAAAAGTTAATAGTTTCCCGAACAGTAATTCAATATAGAAATAAGGAGGTGTTCAGACTAATGCGCCATCATTACCTGTTCAGCAACCATTGTACTGAGTTGTGCATCATTTGCCTGGAAGCAAACAATAAATATTGTTCATCACTCAATACACAATAATCTTTAACATAATACGAGCTAAACATAATCAAAAGAAAATGTAACAGTAAAAACTGTATAGTTTGACGAAAAGAACTTCTACCAATCAAACAAAACAAAATTGACATGAAATAAAATTGAAAACCCCAGGACATGCTTATTCAACAAAGCAATAGACATGCACAAAAAAGTGGCGCTTGATTTATGCTAATTCATTGATTTTAACAACATCATTCGAGCAGAATTATTAGAAGTAAAGACTGCTTGAGAGTATGCATAGCCTGATAAGTAGTATTGAAGAGAATGACGAAGAACAGGGAGCTTCTCTACAATATTATAACAACATTATGCCCATTCAACTAATACATTAGACTACACTCTCTTAATGGCATATACGACAAATAGTTTCAAGTTCCATGTGACTCCATACCATGTAAGATCATGAAAGGTCACTTTTTCACTTCCATTTTGCAAAAATAAACATCTGGTCTTAATATCAGTCGTTGTTGGTCGTTGTTTTGGTCACAACAGACCTGGGTATCATATTTGCAAAGACAAAGACAAAAAGTGGCATTTTGGTCACTAGTACAAAAATCAAGAATAACCAGCAAACAAATAAGCAAGCCCTTACTAGAGCTTCACTGTTTATATTCATTCAACTAATACTCAATATCCTCCTTCCCATATTCTCCAAAAACAAATAAGCAAGCCCTTACTAGAGCTTCACTGTTTATATTCATTCAACTAATACTCAATATCCTCCTTCCCATATTCTCCAAAACTGTCGATCCCATACAAATTCAACAACAAACTAATTCCCCTGATCACATGCAACTCAAAGTTTCACCCTTGCCTCAAATCCATGAATCTACATATAGCCTTTTCTATAAATTTTAAAATCTATGAGCTTGTGTGCGATTTTTACAAGCAGACAAAATTCCTGGCAGAAGGAAAATAAACCTGCTGACGGCCAATGCAGAAATCAGCTTTGGAATCCAGGTAACTGCAAAATCAATCATACACATACACGCATAATGTACCTGCTGACGGGAAATGTAATCAGCTTTGATTGAGGAGATGGACTGCAAAAGCTCCGGCAGCGGCAGAAGCTTGGCCACCTCCCTCACCGCCGCCTCCTTCGCCTCCACCCCTAGATCCTCCACCATCATCTTCTTCACCGAGCTCTCTCTACAGCACTTGCGATTACCAGAAACTCAAGAAAATGTTCGAATTATGATAAATAATAAAGTTCAAAACTGATAATTTGCAGCTCGGATCTTGACTGGACCGTGTGGAAAAGAAAGAAGCGTTTCCGATTTGTTCGGGTCTGGATACTGCCCGTTTGAATTTCGGATCGAATTATTTAAGTTGGACTTTTTGTTGGCCCAATCTAATTGTAGCTGGATTCGGAGTAACTGCGCTCAAAGTGTGTGGGCTGAAGAAAGGCAGCCCATCATAAGTCCATACAGGTGGGACTCCAAACGGTCATCCTAATGGCCTTCCAAATCGTTCTTATAGTTTCAAGTTTCAACTTCAACTATTCATGATGTTTAATCCTAGGGGCGGACGCACTCATGGCTATAGCTCGATTTGAGGCGAGCCTTAAATTTGACTTGTTAAATTAACAAGTTGATAATCGAGTTTGAGTTTAGCTAATTAACAAGCTGAATTTGAGTCGAATTTTGTTAAAAGTTCAAAAAAACGAAGTAAAAATCTCGATTTATCAAATTCAATAATTCTTAACAAGTTGGACCGAGCCTAGCTGACGAACATTTTCTTTCTAACAGCTTTATACATAGCCTTTGTGTGCCTCTCATCACTCCAAAAAAAATGATAAATTGTAACGATAATACATTCCATAGAAATTTGGACATTTCAAAGAAAATATTATGATTTGCAAATGGATATTTCTTTCTTTTGGTGTCAGTGTTTCATATTGTGCCAATCATCTCATTTGTCTCTATAATCGTATTTTTTGTTCATGTTGTATTCGTGTTTCGTGTTGTGTCAACAACTATCAGCCCTGGCAATATATGACATGACAAGAACATAAAAACATATATAATAAGACTGTTGTCAACAACCATAATCTATACCTATGTAAAAAAATTTATTTTTAAAAAAAAAATATTATGGTTTCCGCCAAACTATTTCTTTTTTCACTTAATATATAAAATATACACGAATATAAAAGAGAATTTTTTTATTTTAATTTCTTTTCATCATAAAATTATTGTAAATAACTATTTTTATTTTTCTAACTATTATGAGTTACGATAAATTTAAAAATTGAATGGAATCACACGCGTGTATATAAAGTAAAATATTTTAATACACAATATTTTAATTTAAAATTATTTATAATTTTAAATTAGTTACATTAATAAACTATTAATACATTAATATTAACTATCTCTACATAAAAAAAAAACTATTCTCTAACTTTTATAAATATAATAATGATATATATGACAAGAAATTTTGAATAAATTAAATATTGTTGAGTATTANTAATATTTATGTGTCATGCATCGAACGATCTACGTACTAGTTTTTTTTTTTTTCACTAAAAATGCATAATTTGTACTAAAATGTCATGTTTAAAAAGTATCATAAAATAGTTACATTTCATACTATAAGAATGCAATTTTATTTTCTATAAAAAGTATGGATAGTCGATTACTAAGTCTGTATCATGGTAATATTTGTGTAAGTTATTATTGTTTTCGAGTTGTTTTAATTACTTTGTGCTAAGTAAATAAAGACCTCAAAGTGATGAATGATGATGCTTAATGTAGCATTATGAAAAAGCATCTGAAAGGAGAAAGATATATACAAGATTCATCCATAATTAAAGTTACTTTTTCGACTTAATAAATTCGAATTTATCTATACTGATGAATTATGTAAATCAAATGTTAAATTAACTCAATCTAATTAAAGATTCCTCCATCGACAACGTAAACCCCACCATACACAGAATGTCTAATTTACATTCAAGAAATATACTATTATTAAGTATTTGAATTAAAACTAATAATTCTGAATTTAATCGATTAATTGTTTCGAGAATTGATAGGGTGAAAAATGAATCAAGAAGTTTGTCCGCTAACATATTGATATAATTAAATTATGGATAAACCAACTATTAGCCAGACCTAATTATTAGATAGTTATTCATACTTTAAGAAATAATATAATAAAATATATGACATTTTTTAATAGAGATATATTTTATTAGTCAATAATATATCGACCGTCTAATCATAAAATTGCTCTACACAACAAAGTGTGTTAAATTATTAATGTAAAATCATTTAAATATTACTGACTGTAATGAGTTATACATGTAATTACCTGAATTTCAGAAAAGTTCAAAAAGTAAATCATCAATAGTAGAAAGAAAGCAACAACAGTACAACACCGAAAGCATCAATACAATTAATGATTTTTACCTTGGTTTAAATATGAGAATGAAACCATCAGACCACCAAATTGAATCTCGAAATCTCCCTTTTTTTAACTAATTCGAAAAGTCAAGAAATAATAAATACAGTTTTGCTTTAATTGTGACATGGGTGCCAAGGCTCTTAAGTGCCAGTTGTAATATATAGATATATGTATACGTAGCATTTATTTCTAATTTTCCCTAAATTATTTATTTATTTAAACCTTTTTATCTCTATAAATTGAGGATTCACATGCACTGACATAGTAAGGCATATGCATCCTTAAGAAAACTCTGAATCCCCTTTTATTTGTATTTTTTCTTGATCTCTCCAAACTAACATGTCTCTCAAATATTGCATTTTGCTTATTTTGATTTTCACAATATTTACTAAGTCACTATGCATCGAAGCTCAAAGTTATCGACGCTATCGGTTTGTGGTAAGCAAATTTGAATATTTTTGTTCAATCCTAATTCTAACTGTCCTTTTTTTTACCCCTTAATTTAATTTGCAATGTTTGCAGGTCAAGGAAGTTTCATACAAGAAATTGTGCGAAAAAAAGAACATTCTAACGGTGAACGGAAAATTTCCCGGCCCGACTCTAAAAGTTCATAAAGGGGAGACCATAATCGTCGACGTCTACAACAAAGGACAACATAATATTACTCTTCACTGGTATATAAGTTTTAGGTCATTTTTTTTTTTTTCGCACGAAAAAATCGAAAGTATAAAAAATTTATTCATGATTGTAATTGTAAAATTAATTGTAAAATATTTATTTATTTCGTAGGCATGGAGTGAAGCAACCGAGGAACCCATGGACTGATGGGCCCGAGTACATAACACAGTGCCCGATTAAACCGGGCGGCCAATTTAGCCAAAAGGTCATATTCTCGAAAGAGGAAGGGACTTTGTGGTGGCACGCGCATAGTGATTGGTCACGGGCCACTGTGCATGGGCCCATTATCGTGTACCCGGCCCGTGGGACTTTGTACCCATACCCTAAGCCGTATGAGGAATTCCCGATAGTCTTAGGTGACCAATCGATACAATGCATTAATTTTTAGTACAACAAGATTATAACAAGTTATGTGAGATTAATTTAATTACTTTGATTGACTATTTTTGTTTTGGTTTCAACTTTGTGGTAATTAGGGGAGTGGTGGAAAGAAGATATAATGAAAGTGATGGCGGATTTTGTCGAGTCCGGGGGGCAACCGGTGAACTCGTCGGCCTATATTATAAATGGTCAGCCAGGTGAACTTTATCCGTGCTCAAAGAACGGTGAGTAAATATCTATATATGCGAAAAATTTCAGCTCTAGACACGATTGTCGTGCAATTTAATTTGAGTTTTCGTCAATTAGATCAGCACATACAAATACCCACATAGACTTGACTATGTGTTGATCCAATAGTAAAAAACTCGATAACCATGCTGCAGTTGTGTGTAGAGTGAAATTTACTGCATATATTTGTACATATATATTTATATATATCTTTGTTTAGAAAAAAAAAATCTTTCTTAAAATAGAATAGATAATTATAATTATATATCTATATTTAGTGTTTTAATTTGCAGTGTGTGCTGTTTAAATGAACCCAACTGTCCCTTTAAATTTCATCAATTTTGTGACTGCAATGTTTCAGTAACCATTTTTATTGGTGCTTTTGTTACACAATAATGAACCATGCTTCTTTTTGGTTGATTACACCAATAATAGAAGAAATTTTAGGCACACACTTTTGACAATATATTGTCCATATCCCATATGGCATGTTGGAATTAAAACCTAAAAAAAAACTCAAAATAATAAAGAAAAATAATAGTATGAGCTAATTTCTTTAATAAAATAATATATAAAAATTAAA